GGGCTGTGCACGCCAAAGCTTGAACGTGGGAAAAGGAAGTGGAGCTCTTTTACCAAATATACAATTGAAATTGTATACTTTATGACCTTCTTGTACAAGAATTAAACAAACATTCCTCTGTTCCTAAATGATGGAGTAACTCACCGTTGTCTCTCACCATGAAATGAATTAAATAGTGCATCCAAAAATGCAAATTTTCAAGGGAGGAAAAGGAGAATTGAACTTTGGACACCATGCTCCAAGTTAAACACCTTAACCATTAAGATATGAGTCTTACTTGATTAATACTTGAACCCCACAATACTAATTTTCTGACTACGCCAGCTTCTGGACCTCATCGCCTGAACCCAAAAGAGCCATATTACAAATCAGGGTAACACTTTATATTAGTGATTAATTTATTGTTTTGGTATTATATTAGTGACTAATTACATGTTGAATAATTTAATAAATATGATTTTGTAAAATCCGTAAAACTAAGTTCCGAATGTGTTCAAACATAGTTTTGGAACTTCACTTCAAAAGAGGCATAGCAAGACTTTCAGATTCTTAAAAAAAACAGTTGGAGGATGACATAAATTTTAAAGTTTTCCGAGACGACAAATTAAAGATATCTCGAATTCGCGGAAGATTGCGTGATTTTTGGAAAGGCTAATCTTAAGGAATGTGATCAAATCAGGGAAATTCTGAATACTTACTCTATGGAATCAGGGCAGCTCATAAATTTCACAAAATCTGAGCTTTCCTTCAGTAAAAATGTTCGAATCAGTAGAAGACTGGAGATTTGTGGCACTCTGGGCATCAAGGAAGTTGAGAAGCATCAGAAATACCTTGGCCTTCCTACTGTGGTGGGAAGATCAAAGAAAATCATCTTTGAGGAAATAAAAGAAAGGGTAAGGAAAAAACTAAAAGATTGGAAGAGCAGGACTTTATCATAGGCTGGCAAGGAGGTGTTGATTAAGGCTATTGCCCAAGCTCAATGTCTTTATCCCATATCAGTTTTTAAAATCCCTGAGGGCACTCTCAAGGAGATTCAAAACATCATCTCAAATTTCTGGTGGGGGCAGAAGGGGAAAGAATCAAAAATTCAGTGGGTTGATTGGGATGAGCTGTGTGATGGAAAAAAGGATGGTGGGATGGGTTTCAGAGACCTAAGATCTTTCAATTACGCGATGCTTGGAAAGCAGGTCTGGAATTTGCTCACAAGACCAAACTCTCTCATGGCCAAAGTTCTCAAGGCCCGTTATTTTCCCAAAATTGACATTTTACAAGCAAAAACAGGTTATCAGCCTAGTTTCATTTGGAAGAGTATAATGGAAGCAAAAGAGAAAACTGAAGAGGGCTTCAGGTGGAGAGTTGGAAATGGAAGCTTGATCAGTATATGGAAGGACGAATGGATCCCAGGTAAAAAAAAATTTCAAGCTGAACCTGCCCCCTCAGGGGATATGCCAGAAGAAAAAGTCAGTTCTCTCATTGACCCTGTTACGGGTACTTGGAAGGAGGAGAAATTGAGGATGCTTTTCTCTCGTGAGGATCAGAACCTTATCGCTAAGATCCCTCTCTGTTTCCCTCTTGGAGCGGACCCGAGAGTTTGGAAAGATTCTGAAAATGGAGCCTATACAGTAAAATCAGCATATCACTACATTCGTAAACAGCAAGCTCACTACCAGACTCGGGTTCACAATCTTAACACTGATGAGATGGAGTTGTGGAAGGCCCTATGGATGCTTCATATCCAACCTAAGGTTCGTGTTTCCTTTGGAAGGTTTGTAAGAACATCTTACCGGTGGGTTCTCATATTGAGGAATGGATTGAAAATGAGGCGCCAAATTGCCCTTTCTGCAACCTCCCGGAAACTCGGGAGCATGCTCTTCTTGATTATGACTGGATCAGAAGACGCTGGCGAGGCTGCGAAGAAGCGGAAATGTTTGAGAAGGGAGAAGGAAAATCTTGCTACGAATGGATTAAGGAGGTTCTCACAACTTTTACGGAAGACAAAATCCAAAGATTTAGTTCGATCCTGTGGTACCTTTGGAAAGAGAGATGCAATCATAAGTACAATAACCGGAAGCTGGATGAGGATGAGATTGTTCCGCGAGCTTTGGCCTGGCTTTCTTCTTTCCTGACGGCAAATGCAACCCCAGATCTGAGTTCCTTTGCTTCCCCCCCTCGGCATCATTCTCTCCCTCTTCGACACTGGACTCCTCCTCCCGAGGGTTTCTTTAAGCTGAACTCTGATGTTGGCGTCATTCAGAATCGGGAAGTTGGTATGGGATGCATCTTCCGGGACGGTCGAGGCGAATTTGTGGGTGCTTTGGCTAAAAGGGAAAAGGGAGCTCTCCGGCCGATTGTAGCTGAAGCGAAAGCCCTGATCTTGGGATTGAAAGAAGCAAATCGAAGATCTCTGGGTCCTCTCATTGTGGAGTCCGATTGTGAGGTACTAATCAATCTCTTGAAGAATGGATCAGAGGATTTTACGGAAATGGGTATCTGGAGTGATGAACTGAGAACGCTTGCAAAGGTGAATGAATCTTTGGTTGGAGAGAGGGTGAGGTGGAGTTTTGTTCCGAGAGAGTGCAACTCAGTGGCCCACTGGTTGGCTCATACGGGTTTGGGTTGAAATCAACAGATTGTATGGGTGGACTCTCCCCCTTTGTTGCTTTGTTCTCTCATTGAGGCCGATTTGGGCCATGGCTCCTTGGGCCAAACTGATTTCCGTTAATATAATTCCTCAGGTTTCCTATAAAAAAAAGATATTTCGAATTCTACTAGGGCCCAAAGATGGGACTAGAGGGCACGTAAAAAAGAGGTGTTCAATTATCTCAAGATTGACATGAAAAAACTAGGCAGAGGTTAATGCATATCACCTTACGGATTTTATGGATAAAGAGAAAAAGGATGACTCTCGGAACTTGTCATGTGAAAAATTGAACATTAGAGGGAAATTGCAACAGTTAGAGCCACTACCTATATCTTGCCATGCAATAGATAACTTGTAAATACGAAAAACACACCAACGTGCAAACTAAATATGAGCCTATGGTAGATACTATTTCCTCTTGGGTATATTAGTTCATAGGTTCTCCACTCTAGGCATCCAATGTTTATAGAACATTTCCTCTCAGGATAGGATATAACGGATTACCATTCTTGTACGTGTGTCTGTATTGCAAACTTCGGAACCTCACAAATGCAACAAACGACGAAAATCATACAATTCTGATTTTGTTTTTAGTGTTTTAACAAGAGGAGAATGAAGACATCTATGTAGGGTTTCTTGTTGACCCTCTAAGGGTCGGGACGGGTAGGGACGGATCAAAACATTACAGATAACAATCAGACCTTACCAGGTACAGGACCAGACTATAGAGCCTATTTTTTTTCTATCTCTTGCTCGCTTTCTCAATTCACATCTATGAGCGATTTTTTTTCTATCTCTTGCTCGCTTTGATCGGACTCTGATAGCCCTGTGACCTTTAACAACAACAAATATCTAAAACAACATTGGACCTTTTTGTAAAGTTTTAAAAGTTTAGGTAATAAATTGTAAGAATAAAAAAATATGGGTACCAAAACGTAATTTTACCATAAAATATGAACTTATTTGTAAAAAAATAAATTTTAGGTACTAAATTTTAAGAAAAAATAATTTTGGGTACCAAAATGTGATTTACAAAAATGTAGTGTGTTGATTAAGGGTCGACCCACTGCCCCGACCCATACCAACCCTTCAAGGTCAAACATGGTCAAGAAGGAGACAGGGACGGGACGAGACGTGTCAGTTATACATTTGACCCTTCAGTAACAACTCAGATAGGGTCACGGACGGATCAGAGACAAGTCGGAGCAATTTTCAGCCCTTATTAAAAGAATATGAACTGTTTGTTTACCAACCGTTACCAGTAGCATTCATGGAATTAAATGAGAGTATGTGGCCACTTAATTAAACTAATTAATATCATCATTACTCCACCATTAACTACATGCATTCAGTCTTCCAAGCTAAGTTGATTAGATCAATTAAATAAGTGATTGGCTGATTTAAACATAGGACACTGCTATTATTAGTAAATATAATTTTCATTAATCTACAAATTATTTGTTGTTATATTTCAAAAACAAGTCTAATAGTAAAACTGTTATTTTTTATTCACAATTATTTTCTAAAAACCTAACCGATTAAACGCAATTACAGACTACCCTTATTCCCCAGCATTCTATCATATACATGTGTTTACTAGTTTCCCAAAACTGTATTGATTTTACCAGTTTCAACGAAAAAGTATTGAAAGAGCCTTTCAGATTTGAGTTACATCATGAATAAGTTTCGAAATTGAATAAATAATCATCTAATAATACAGAGAAATTTATTGAACACTATACACACAGTATTTTACAATTTTCTCAAAAATATGAAACCATTTCATGGGCTTTTTGTTGTAACTTGAATCGACCACTATTTCCTAGACATCGCTACCTCCAACTCTCGGATCAAGCTTTGAAGTTCCATCCTTTTTTCCCGATGAACTACCGTATCCGTTTGTCTACTAAACAGTTGTATAAGCCAAATTTGGAATGTACCAGCCGATTGATTCCATACATATTCAAGCCTTACTTTATGGTTGTTTTATACTAGGATCATTTAAACATATTACTTTTTTTATTAAATAATTGTTTACCCTAAAATTTAAATCCAAGCATATTATTATTCCCAAACATAAACAATTAACCCCCTAACGGCTAGCGACATGTTCTGTCTCTTTAGTTTTCAAGATGCGTACGGCTCCACACATCTCCTTGCTCTGCACTTTCCATGAACTGCTGAACTCGTTTCCTCCCATTAATTGTATAATAACTGGACACAGCAAAAGTCAGACGTACCTGTTCCTCCCCAAAATTCAATCTCGACAATGAACGACCCTGAAGCCATCCCCGATCCTGCAGCTCACCCAGCAATTCGTCCCGATTCGACGAAAGACAAATGCCGCGACAGCCCCCAAATGTTGGTCGAGCTAGACAAGCTCCTCAAACTAGCCGGCCCGATGCTCTTCGTCAGCCTGCTGCAATTCGGCATCCAGATGCTGTCCGTCATGTTCGTCGGACGGTTGGGAGAGCTCCACCTCGCCTCTTCTTCCCTCACAACTTCGATCGCAGGTGTCACCGGATACACCGTCATGGTAATTAATGATGCTCGTCACGCCCGCACAAAAAAAAAAACATTTTTCACTAATCAAATTGATGAACAACTGTTTGATTAGAATTTTGGTTGTCTCTGTAGATTGGGATGGGCTCCGCGCTGGAGACGCTGTGCGGGCAGGCCTACGGTGCCAAGCAGTACGCGATGCTGGGGGTCCACGCGCAGAGAGCAATGCTCGTGTTCGGGATCCTCAGCATCCCGATTTCCGTGCTGTGGATATTCACGGGCCCGATTCTCGGGGTCCTGAAGCAGGACCCCGAGATTTCGGCCATGGCAGGAGAATCGGCCCCGTGGCTGATTCCCAGCATTCTGCCGTTCGGGATTCTGCAGTCGCAGACTCGATTCCTACAGACCCAGGGAATCACGGTCCCGCAGATGGCGACCACCGCCGTGGGCTGCTTGGTCCACGGCGTGGTCTGCTGGGTGCTGGTGGACAAGCTTAAGATGGGGAACAGCGGGGCGTGCCTGGCGAACGGGGTGACTTACTGGGTCATTGTGATCGTTCTGGCGGGTTACATCAAGGTCTCGAGCTCGTGTCAGGAGACATGGAAGAGCTTCAGCTTGGAGGGAGCTAGAGGGGTTCTTTCGTTCCTCAAGTTGGGTGTTCCTTCAGCTTTCATGATGTGGTGAGTCGAGTTTCATTGCTTTGATTTGATTTTCTCCTGCCGTTTACCGTGTCGTTTGATAATGTTTTCCCCCTGTGTCGTTGTTGTTTTTTTTGGATTTGGATGCTGGGGGATAGCTTGGAGTTTTGGTCTTTTCAGGTTTTCATTGTGCTAGCTGGCCTTCTTCCTGATGCAGAGCTGGAGACGTCCATGATGTTGATCAGGTTCGTAATTTCTATAACGGGTTACATTTTCAGCGACATATTCTGATTTTTGAATTTCGAAACGATCTAAATATCGAAACAGAGGAGTCGAAAATAACACGTCACAACAGGTTTTCACGACTAAACAGCCCATGCTAAACTACACGTAACTCCATTACATCGTTGTGATCAATAGTTTCTGTGTCATGTCTTTCGACAGAGACGTATTCCCAACAGTATCATTTTTTTAATTAACCAAAACTACAAAACAGAGTATATTAGTTTTGTGTTCAAACCATAGACTTGTAGGTTGGTTAATTTGTTTTGTATTTTTTCCTGATATATGACAGTCGTAGTATTTTAATCATCAATCTTTCCTTGTTAATTAGACAAAACTGACTAAGACATTAACAATTGGACTGTTGTTTTCTGCCCCTCGCAGCCTCAACACTTGCGCCGTGGTTTTCCGGATCCCTAATAGCCTTGGCAGCGCTGTAAGGTAATAATAAAAAGATTAATACGGTTAGTGTTGTGGTATATGATTCAGGATTGAATATTTTTCAACAACTCGAGTTATTGGGAGAAACTGGTTCACGACATAGTATCAGAGCCTTATGTGACCGAGAGGTTTTGTGTTCGATTCTCGGTGACCCCAATTTGTTAAGCACATGGTATTCTCGTCTTCGGACCTGTGTAAACTAGTTGTCCCAACATAATTATCTGTCGAATCTGGACAAGTTATTGGGAGCAACTGGTTCTTGACAAATACTAGTTGTCCCAACAGAATTAACTGCCGAATCTGGATGGCTAACTAATATGACAAATACTAGTTGTCCCAACAGAATTAACTGTCGAATATGGACAAGACGGCTAAGTAATCTGACAAATACTAGTTGTCCCAACAAAATTAACTGTCGAATCTGGACGGCTAACTAATCTGACGATATATATACGTGTTTTAAACGCAGTACGAGAATCTCCAACGAGTTAGGAGCAGGGAACCCGGGCGCAGCCCGAATGGCGGTGCGGGTCGTGCTGCTGCTGGCGGTTTCGCAGGGCCTGCTGGCGAGCTCCATCGCCACGGCGACTCGGCACGTGTGGGGATGCATCTACACCGACGACAAGATCCTGATCACCTACCTATCGGTCGTCGCCCCGAAGATCGCGGTGTGCAACTTCATCGACGGGATCCACGGCGTCCTGTCTGGCTGCGTCAGAGGGTGCGGGTGGCAGAACTGCGGCGCGTATATAAGCCTGGGGGCGTATTATTTCGTCGGCATCCCGGTGGCTCTGCTCTTTGCATTCGTTTGGCGTTACGGTGGAGAGGTAAGCTTATAACGATGTGGAATCTAAGGTATCATGAAATTGAAGTAAATTCACTGTTTGTTGAGAGACGGGAATTCGTGGATCTCATGGATTTGCAAATTTCGCATTTTATTTGGAATTTGATCATGGGAAGCAAAAATGTGAGACAAATCCATCGTAAATCCATAATAAAAAAAATCAACTAAACAAAGTACTCTTTCAAATCCATAATGCAATAAATTCATCATAAATCCAAAGGTTATCAAAATTCAAAACCCTCATTTTCAAAACCAACAAGCAAAGGAACTCTAAGAGAGTGGTATAAGATCCATAATAATCTACCCCATCAATTCGAGTTATTAGGATATAAGTTATTTTTGGCATGGTATTAGAGCCCTTTGTGACAGACAGGTCTTCTGTTTGAATCTCGATGACCTCGTTTGGAAAGCACATGGTATTCTCATATTCATAACATGTGCAAGCAAAAACTCTTATGACTTGATTGGCTTTTGTTTGAGAGGGTGTATTAGTGAGAGTGGTATAAGATTTATTATTGATATAAGTTATTTTTGGCATGGTATTAGAGCCTTTTGTGACAGACAGGTCTTCTGTTTGAATCTCGATGACCTCGTTTGGAAAGCACATGGTATTCTCATATTCATAACATGTGCAAACAAAAACTCTTATGACTTGATTGGCTTTTGTTTGAGAGGGCGTATTAGTGAGAGTGGTATAAGATTTATTATTGAACCTCTCCCAACAACTCGAGTTATTGGAATCAACTGGTTCTCGATCATTTACCAGTTACTAACAATCCCCTCTCAAACGAAAGCCATCTCATTTGGGCTGGAAGTTTGCACGGATCAGAATATCATGTGCTTATCAGAATGGATGGGGTGATCGTGATTCGAATAGAAAATCTCTCGGTCTAAAAGGTTCTAATACCGTGTTAAGAATTTGTTGATACCAATAACTCGAGTTGATAAGAGATGTACCATTATCAAATATATACCACTTACTAACAATATTTTGGATCATGTACTAAATTTTGATTGAATGAAAACTTGGCAGGGTTTTTTGCTTGGAATTATAGCTGGGAGTAGTGTCAAGGTCATCTTGCTCCTCGTCGTCACTGTCAGCATCGACTGGGAAGACGAAGTAAATTCATTGCTTTTCACTTTCTGAGCAGTGTGAAGTGAATAGTTCTGTAACCAGCTGATGAATGTGTTTGAATGAAAACAAATTTGCAGGCAAAGAAAGCGAAGGAAAATGTGGATGCATGTAGCATGCAGCAATAAGAGGGAGGGTTAGATGAGTTGAATTCCAACTTCCAAGAGATGGAGGCTCCGGGGAGAACTTCTCTAGCATGGCCATCATCACATTGGCAACCGTAGTTTGTAGGGGTATTCAAACTGATTGGTTATCGTATCGTGATAATCATTTTAACATCAGTATTCGGTTTAGTTTTGTTAAACTTTTTCATTTATTTGATTTAGGTGGTTTGGTTTCGGACATTGCTAACCGATCAAATCAATTAACCAATTAGGAATACGACATATATATAATATATTATACAATACATACTCATATTTTGTATAACCACTCAAGAGTCAAACATTCATCCATTTTCGGATTCATAAAAAAATAAAGTTAATTGTTGTTCCTATACTATACATTGGCGTAGCCAGAAAATTAGTAATGTGGGGTCCAAGTATTAATCAAATACGACTCATGTCTTAATGGTAAAAGTGTTTAGTTTGGAGCATGGTGTCCAAAGTTCAATTCTCTTTTTCCTCCCTTGAAAATTTGCATTTTTTGGACGTGGCCTTACCTTGCTAATGGGGTCCATTGACCCCACAACCAACAACATGGCTCCGCCAATGATACTATATTTAATTTGGCGTGGACAACAATATATAAGCTTAGTTTGGTCCTGCAGTAGTTTTTGCAGAAGCAACTTTTGGCTGGAGCTTTTAGATAAGTACTTTAAAAAAAAGCAGTTAAGTGTTTGGCTGTAAAACTATTAGAAGTGTTTTTTAATATAAGAGGTTGTGTAAAATGACTATAAAGGACTTATAATATAAAATATGAATAAAAATTCTAAACAATAAAAATTAGTCAAAATGGATCTTGTTAGATTTCTTTTATGTTAAATAATATGATTTTATAATTTATTTTATTTTTAAATAATATAAATGAAGGAAAATTATATTTTCTGAAATAAAATTAAAATATGGTAACTTCCTAGACTAACATGTCATGGTATTGAAACAATCATGCCAATGTGAACATGATAACACACAAAAATGAGGGTATACAAATTGCTAAATTAGGACACTATTATATGTCAAACTGGACCGTAATAGAATTTTTGTTTATACTGCGGTATGATCATGTCATATTGGTCAGAGGTATAATTAGACATTGATAGAAAAGTAAGGATATGGTCTCGTGTGACCAGAAAACAGAAATTATCTATTCTAGTTCTATTAGAAACTATGAGTTTGACTTATGCATTTGCTTTTCCCCAAGCAAAGATGTGACAAATTGTGCACGATGCTTCTTGGTGTCCATGCTTATGTGCTAATTCGACCATCACGATACTTATAAGTCTCTCCCTGCCACTTACCTCCTTGGTCTCAACATAAACCTTGGCATACCATATTTTGTTTTCAACCATAAACTATACATCGAATCTATGCTTCCGTTGTCGGAGAGGATAGTTCATTGTATACCATACGCTGTTGTTCATCATTGGCATCCGATAGGTAATTTTACGAACTCTCGGAAGAACATTTATAGAAGTTTGTTCCTCGCAAATTTTAGAGAGTTCATACCAAGTGAATTTGATGTCCGTCTTCATATCAGTGGATTCACCCATCCTCATGAATCAATCCTAGAGTGAAATTTCGTCATTCCACCATTTGATTGAATACTTAGCTTGAACTTTCCTATGATTTTTTCAATTTAGATTAACTAATGATCATATAAAAAAGCAGAACAGAAAGTAAAGGCGGGAGAGAGAAAAAGTTGAGAGAGAAAAAGCTCTCCCCTCTCTCCACTTTCAGCCTGGTTTTTCTTTTTCTAGCCGTTATGCAACCCCCACCGGGGGCGGAGGGCCATGGCCTTATCCCGCCGGAAAGATCCCCGCCGATTTCCCCTGCTCAGCCCTGTAAAAAATCAAAATCTACAGTGAGCGAGGGTTTCTCAGGGCAGGGAAGTATGGATGTTGCGGTGGTCACAGCAAGGCAACAATCCACTGATTCAGAGATGGAGACGATAGAACAACCGACTACCCAGACTACTGAACGAGAGGAAGAAGGAAAAGAGACCTCGAAGAAGATCTCTTACAAGGACTCCGTCCTTGGGAACTACCCTTCGCCGGAAGCTTCTGACGACGACGAAGAAGGGGATAAGCTGATGTCCGATGAGTCTGACGGCGAGGACGGAGAGGACGATCCTTTCTGCCCAACTATCCGCATCAGAAAGCGCACTATTTACAAGATCCAACGGAGGTGGCACAATGCGATCACATTCCGGGTCCTGGGTAAGTTTTTCCCCTTTGCCTTCATTCACCGCCGCGTGCACAAGATGTGGGCGAAAACTGGTGGGGTTCGAATTGGGGATATTGGGAATGGATATTGCCAAGCTATTTGTGATTCTCAAGCGGACTATGAACGCGCAATGTTTGGCGGACCATGGACCATTGAGGATCATTACATTGTTGCCGAACCCTGGAGGCTGGATTTTGACCCAGATTACGACACAATTGACAAAACTCCAGTTTGGGTTCGCCTTCCCCGGCTGCCCATGGCCTACTTTGAAGAAGAGATTCTACGCGATATTGGAAGCAAGTTGGGGAGGGTCATCAAGCTTGACTACAACACAACGAACGGTTTCAGAGGGAACTTTGCTAGGATCTGTGTCGAAATTGATCTAAGCAAGAGACTTGTTCCTAAGTATAGACTAAAGAGGAGAGTAAGGCGAGTGCAATATGAAGGCCTCCACACTGTCTGTTTTGAGTGTGGCCACTATGGCCACCTTGAAGAGAACTGCCCGGATCTTTGGCGCAAAGAGGGAATGACGCCGGAGCAGAGAACAGAAGATCAAACACCAGAGAAACCGGAGCCGACCATCCAACCGGAGATTGTTGAGGATTTTGGGCCATGGATGCTTGTATCCAGAACTCAGAGGAAGAAACAAATTCAAGGGAACAAAAGGAAAGAAGACAACATACAAGCGACCAATCAGGGGAAAGAGAAGAAGGAAAGTGGTTCCAGATTCAGCGCCTTAGATGAGGAAGGAAGCAAAATGGATGAGGATCTGGTAACTGCAGAGCAAGAAGAACCAACTGAGACTATTGTTACCACAGGAAAAAAGAAAGCACAGGCTTCTGAGGGACAGGTAGAGGAAGGCAGCAGAAAGGATAAGATGGAGGAATCAATTGGTGAGAAAGGATCTGGATCGAAAAAGAAAGAAGCACAAAAGAATGTCACCATAACGGGCCAGAAGATAAAAAACGGGAATCAAAAAGCCTCACCAGATATGACAACTCAGAAGAACAACTCAACCCCCGAACCACTGAAACAAAGACAACCTGAACAAAAAAAGAAGACTGGTAGAAGCGGAGGTGGGAATCCTCACTCGAGCCCCCCTGAATGCTCCACTGCCCATCCTGACAAGCAACAGGTGAACCCCAATGTTGCGAGGCAGGGGCAGGAGAAAGACAAGAAGGGAATCATGGCTCCAGGACACCCCCGTCCCACCAACCAGGGGAAGACTCCTTTGACAGCTAGGACCAAGGCCGGTTTAGCTCAAAAAACCCCAGAAAATGGGAAAGGCCGCCCAAGAAAGATCGAGTTCGCTCAAGATCCGGGAGGGCGGGGAAAGAAGACAGATGAGTCTAACCAGAACAAATCTCCAGAAGACTCTGCCCAGAAGGTGGCAATGGCGACGGCAATGGCCGTCGACCCATGATGCTTTTCAGGACTTGCTGGTCCTCCGAGGGAAGTCCTTTCTCAATTCTTTTCTTG